GTGGGTGGGTGGGTTGATGTGTGGGTGTGGGTGTAGGTGTGGGGTATTAATGAGGAAAAGACATTCACCCACACCCAACACTCACGACCACGCCCACACCCACACCCACACCCACCCACACTCACACCCACACCCACGCCCACACCCACACCCACACCTCACACCCACACCCACACCTCACACCCACACCCACACCCACACCCACACACCTACACCCACATCCTATTCGTAAATAGAGAGTATGAAAAATTAGCTACTTTAGTGAACAAATATTTGATAATAAAGCTGTTCTGGTGTACTTTAAGCTTAATTTTCTATATAACAGATCATATACGTTAAGAAATTAGCTGCGAAGCACTTTAACAAAACATCTTTAAAAAAATATATTTGTGAACTCTATTTTCAATAAGACATAGAGCTCAAACAACGATAGATCTTTCACATCACATGTATAGTATAAATGGTAAAAAAATTACCTGTTCTTAATATTTGAATAAGGCTATATAAGCAAAAAAGAAGTCGGGGTATCTTATGGCGGAGCACGCTCATATGGATATCGCCGCCACAGTGTGGTTCCTTAGATTTTTGTTGAGTGTCAATGTGAGGGTATCAATTTGATTAGATGTATTTGTGACAATAAATGTTCATCCGGGCCCGCATACAATTGTGCACAATGAGATTGACGCTAATATCAACGTACACACACCTACCAAAACTTGTAGAACATTGGATACTAGCTGTGTTGAAGACTGTAAATCGGAATAAAACATGGAAAGAGCCGAATATACAGTCGAAGGCCAAGCGAGTCACACGGACGAACGTTACTTGTTTTTTATTGAAAAATAATCTTTTTTTCATTTTTTGACTTCCTGGGCAGGATAGAAAAATCGCTCAGTCGAATTTTTCAAAACTAGCTTGCAGAAAGTGCTCCCGATGGTGAACTCGCTAGCTATTGAGGCGAAAAAGTGGCCTTAGCGCCACTCGTCCTTTTATGTTTATTAACATTATTTTCGGTTGAACATACGATGTAACTACAAGAAGAAATTACATATGAAAGAAATAATTAACCTCTATAGTTGGAAGGTGATTCGTCCAGCACAGTATGGCATGTGCTTGAAATTACATCTCATAATATTTTGCATGGTGCAGAGCCACGCTTTTGTGTTATATCTTCATGAATGTTATATGGTTGATTTTGTGCGAACAAAAACTTAATAAATTTTTCTCTCATATCAAGCACATTTATCATTTGACGACCAACTTCATCACGTGACCCTTCTTTCAAACTTTCATTCCTTATTGATCCCATAAAATGGACACCAAGATTGAAGTAGCCTTCTAATTGAGTTTCTCGTACCTCTTTATCTTCAAAAAATTGTTTTACCAATTGCTTCATGTTAGCCTCACCTAGTTCTTCACAATGTGTGATAATCAATGCAAAATGTTTGCTTAACTGAGGATATTTTCTTTTGAAGTACTGCATCGTTTGCAGATCTTGCGCATTGATGCCCTGTGTACCCAATGTGAATACAAATGCGAAAACATGAATTTGTGTAATATCATTGTAAATGCATTTATCAATATAAGCTGAGATATCTTCATTTGATAATGGTGCATCATCATCTGTTCCAGCATCTGGAGAATTTGTCGTGTTTTGGCGCTGTGTTTGTTGTTTTCCTCCATTTTTAGCAGCAGCAGCTTTCGCAGTTACTCTATCATAAAATCCTGGTGTATCAATAATGTTGATATTGTGAACCTGATTTTCATGCTGAAGATATGCAGCTATACATTTAATACTAACTTCTTTTGTATGTGATTTCAGTGTGAATGGTTCAGAAATATGCATTGGATTTTCTATCACGTTACGCATTGTTGTTTTACCTGTACGGGTACGACCAATTAGCACAACTGTTCTTGGCACACATGTTAAAAACTTGTATTTGTTTGCTTCTTCATCTGTTGCTTTCATATCTGCTACGATTTCATCGTACGGTGTTCTTTTTGGAATTTGACTTCTAAAGCTTCTTCCTATGGCATTAAAAACATTATTCTTTTTTCGATCATGCTTTGAGAGAGCAGTTATACTCACCCGTTGGTTTAGGATCAATATTTGGTGGCTGTTGATTTTCATTCACCACTGCAGCAGCGGAACCTGCAAGATTGGAACAATTATTTACCATTCTTGATAGATACTGGAAGTGCACACTTGAATTTACCTGTTGTCTCAGATACGTCAGCAGGAGTATTTCCTGGTTGTTGAGCGGACATTGAAGTACAATTCTAATAATATTTTTATTTTACTGCAAGAAATATACGATATTGTTAATGAAATCTGAAAAACATCAAGCAAATCGCTGTTCCCCAGTATCTGTAACAAAAAACAACATTACCACCCTAAAGAGTCGAGTGCGCAGCAGTCTCAGCAGCGCATAATCAAAATTGAAAAATGAGAAAGAGAATTTAAATGACGCGACGAAAGTTCAATCTAGTAACAACACGTAAAAAAGACATTTACGCCACTGTATACAACGCTGAGTAATTCACGTAGATCTTTTCGTGCCAATTTCGGTTTAACGAAACGATATCCACTATAATCGGAAAACAGTTTGATATGCGGGCCTTACGAAAATCTCCTGTGCAGTAAAACCTGACGATCGATGGCTGCTTTGCTGGATCCTGGTACGATCGATCAAGATTAACGTTCTCAACTTTCTTCCTTAGGCACTGTTATATCGATCTTTTGTGTAACTACTGTAACGAAAAGCTACGTTTCTAATGTCATTCCTCAAGTGAACTGTGACGGAGCAGCCAGCTTTACCATACCTACATTCTCCAACAAATTTTCTTTTCTTTTTACAACAGCTCCTTGCTTTGTGCTTCCGTTTTCACTGTGTTATATATTATTTCATAAACGCCTACTTGTTTTTTTTTTCCAAATAAGATAAACGATAACCTTTAAATCAACACAAAGAAATGACATCCATTTGATATTTTATTGCAGTCATTGTATACAATGCATGCATTACGGTGTCTGTGTTTTTTCACACACTTATTATTCATCCGCCTGACTAAGATGATCGGTTTGGAACCCGTCGCGGAAGTGGCTTCTTCCGAAATAGTCACTTACTCAGCTAAGGAGTAGCTACGGGTAACGGAATGGGGCGTAGAAAATGCCTTGCGATACGATTCACCGCTTTATTAGGGCTTCTTCGCATCGCAATCGTTATTGGCAAATGGAGAGGCATGTGAGCCTATGCCTGTGCCTTACGACATTATGCTTATTCGGCTGTGCTCTTCCTCCAAATGCCCCGTTCTCTCTGAGCACAGGTCTTTAAATAGTGTGCAGTACAGCTCGAGCAAATCACGTAATCAAGAACATAAAGAAATAGAAATATCACGAACAATTGGTCAAGCATTTGCAGATGACAGATGAGGCCGAGAGAATAGCGAATGTATAATACGCATGAGAGAATGTTCATAGTCAAATACATCATACTACCGTAGTATCCGAAGAGTGAGCGGTCTCAGTCGCATAACCTCACACAAAAAGCAAAGGCACTCGTACAGCTGTAAGCCAGCAGTGCCATTATCGATACACTACGTTCTCTTCAACCTTACACAACTCCTTGGGGGATTTTTATGAATCATTTCGAGTTTTGTTACTGTGAAAGCAAAAAAAAAAGCAGAATATATATCAGCGGAAAAGAGAATAGAACATCGTTTAATACTCAGAAATTGTATTAAACATTGACACTGCAAGCTCAGATTTCTCAACATAACTTCACCCCTTTTGTGCACAAGGGAACATACCATTTGCAATTATTTTGAACTTCGCTTTCCTTCTTCATTTCATTTTTTTTCTTTCTTCATCGGTTGCTTTAATTCGTTGCTCGTATTCGTCACGCCACCGCACATAATTGGAGTACACGGTCATATATTGCGACTATCTCTATTATCGTAACAACATTGCTCTCACATCGAGTCAACATACGTTGACTTTTTCTCAGCATCCCTTATTCTTGGTACTTTTCGCCGAGTATGGTATGGCACAGTGATATGCTGTTAGTCGTTGAATAGAATTCTCCGACAGAATTTAATCGTCGAGTACTTTCAAAAAAACACCTTCTCTACTCCTCGAAAGTTCTAGAAACTTAAGGAGTGTCCTAGAAATGTCCTTCCGTTGCCCCGTGGTCTTTGGTCTTTCCTTCTCCCTGTGTTGAAGGCGAGAGTGGACCGTGCGCTCGACCGATGTTCGTTTGACCCCGTCACAGACATGACAGACACAAAGAGAAATGTCTCTCATGTCTGCTCTCTAAAAAAAAAGGTGCCATACGGAACCATTTAAGGTTTTAGCCAAGGTCTAGAACATTTTAAGCTTCTAGATTTGGGTAGCATTTTCAGAACCTTTTTCAAGGTTCTAGCCAAAAAGTCTAAAACCCTTTAAGGTTCCGCATTTATGTCTGAAACCATTTTACGTTCTAGACTTTTTCGCTTGAACTTAAAATGGTTCTGAAAATGGTACCGAAAAAAGGTTCCGTATGACACCTTTTTTCTTACAGAGTGCCGGATGCCAGGGGTCCAAGTTTCTAGCTATGAGCCATGTCCAACAGCAAAAATGTATGCAATTCTACTCGCCCCTCTACAACAATACCCCCCCCCCCCCCCCCCCCCCCTACCCCCCCCCCCCCCCCCCTCCACAATTATGCTACTACCGAGATTGTGAGCCATAGAGAACGAGTGCATAGCATACTTGCTCATGAAGCTGTCATAATTGTAGCATAAGTGTAGTGGGAGGATATCATAATTGTAGCCGTAGGGACCTTAATTGTAGAGATTTAGCATAGCTCTAAAGGAATTCCGAATATTCTCAGACACATAGTGTCCCATGTAGGTTGGGCAATTCCTTTACAATTATGCAAATCCTCTACAAATATCTCTCCTTCCTCAACAATTATGCCCTCTTTGACAACAATTATGTAACCATTATGACGGCTTGCTATAAAATTATGTTACTGTCGGGATTCTGATCCAAAGAAAACAAGCGGGAAGCACAATTCTAGAGGAAGGCGTCATAATTGCATCACAACTATAGTGGTAGCATATCATAAATATAGAAGTAGGGACCATAATTATGAAGATTTAGCATAATTATATAGCAATTCCGAATATTCTCAGACATATAGTATTACATGTAGGTTGGAGAATTCGTCTACAATTATGACTTCTCTCTCGACAATTGTGCAACCCCAATCGTACTCTGTGTCACAGAATCCGCCGAATAGCATATTTGTACAGGAACTGGTCATAATTGCAGCCAAATTCTAGTCAAAGCGGCGATAAAGCTCGAGGGATTGGTGATAAATGTAGAGAAATTCTCCCACCGACAGGCGATACAATATGTGTAAGAATAATCAGAATTCCTCTCGAATTAAGCAAAATCGCTAGAAGTATAGCCGGTACGTCTACAATTATGAAATGCTACTAACACAATTATGTTACAATTACGACACCTTCCTCTACAATTGCACAACCAACTCCTACCCTGCGGCTCCGAATCCCGCTAGTAGCATAATTTTAGACGAAGAGGTCATAATGGCAGCATGATTGTAATCGGAGAGGACACAATTATATGCGTACGGGTCATAATTCTAGATGATTAACATAATTCTATGAGTATTCTCTAACTTACAGCGATCACTATGTCAAAGAATATTACCCAAACTTCTCAACAATTATCCTAGATGTCTACAATTACGGTCCTTACTTCTACAATTACGGTCCTTACTTCTACAATTAGGATATCCTACCTCTACAATTAGGATATCCTACCACTACAATTCCTCTACAATTATGACCCCTTCCCCTCTAATTGTGCTACTCGCTGGTTCCCTGTGACCCACAGTCCCGCTCGCACCATACCTTTAGAAGAACGGGTCATTATGCCGCCATCATTCTAGTCAAAGCGGGAGCAATTGTAGAGGGAGCGATCATAATTGCAGAAGATTCCCATGAATGTAGAGGAAAATGCCAATCTGCAAGGGACATACTTTGTCTGAGAAGATTCGAAATTCTTGTACAATTGTGCTAAATCTTGTTAATTATGGTTCTTACCTCTTGAATTTTGATATGCTACTTCGAGACATATGCTACATATATCACGCCTTCCTCCATAATTATGCTACACACTCTTTCTCGCAGGTTCAGAATCCCGTTATTAGCATAATTCTAGAGAAAGATGTCGTAATTGCAACATAATTGTAGTCAAAGTGGGCATAAGTGTAGATGGAGGCGTCATATCTGTAGAGCATTAGCATGATTCAAGAGGAATTCTCGAACCTACAGTGGACAGTATATCTCTGATAATATTCGAATTCCCCTACAATTATGCTAAATCTCTACAATTATCGCCCTACCACTACAATAATGCTGCAATGATGACCCCTTCCTCTACAATTATGCTACCCACTCGTTCGCTCTCGCTCAGAATCCTGCTAGGAGCATAATTTTAGAGTAAGGGTTCATAATGGTAGGATATTAGTGGTCGAAGAGGCATAATTGTAGAGGAACGGGTCATAATTGTAGAGGATTAGCATGATTGTAGAGGAATTCTGGAACCTACAGGGACACTGTGTGTCTGAGAATATTCGGAAACCCTCTACAACTATGCTACATCTTGACACTTATTTTCATTTGCTCTAGAGTCATGATACGCTAATACTAGAATTGTGCTACTTACATAACGCCTTCATCTACAATTGTGCTACCCACTTGTCCTCTGAGTCTAAGTATCCCGCTATTAGCATATTTGTATAGCAAGGGGTCATTATCATAGCATTATTTTAGTCGAAGGGGCATAAGTATAGCGGAAGGGGTCGTAATTATAGCGGATTCGCATGATTGTAGAGGAAATCTCCAACCTAAAAGGGATAGTATTTGTCTGAGAATATTCGGAATTCCCGTACAATTAAGCAGAAAGTCTTCAAGCGTTGTCAGTATTACTAGGATTATGAAATGCTACTACTACACTTATCCTACAATTATGATCGCCTTCCTCTACAGTTATGGTGCCGGTGGGATTGTGAGCCACAGAGAACGAGTGGGTTCGAGAACTATTGAGGAAAGGGTCATAATTCTAGAGATGTGGCTGAATTCTTGGATTCAGCAAACAACTAGAATCCAACAGGAACTCAGAATCCAAATTCTCATATACCGCGATAAAAGCATCCAAAAGAATACAAGTTTCCAAGAATCCAAGAATCCAGGAATCC